TGTGCGTGTTTGTATATACATATATTTTACATATGTGTGTCTGTGTGTGTTTGTGTATATATACCTATATCCACAATCATTTGACTTACCAATAGCATAGCTGATGTTCTTGTCGCCCATGACATTGTCCACCTCTTTGAAGAAGGCGTTCTTGGCATCGGGTGTGTTGCACAGTGAGTAGACCGTCCAGTTCAACGCCAGGGCAGTCGTGTCTCTACCCGCCGCCTGTATATGATATGTACAGTATATGAGCTACCCGCTGCCTGTATGCGATATGTACAGTATATGAGCTACCCGCTGCCTGTATGTGATATGTACAGTATATGAGCTACCCGCTGCCTGTATGTGATATGTACAGTATATGAGCTACCCGCTGCCTGTATGTGATATGTACAGTATATGAGCTACCCGCTGCCTGTATGTGATATGTACAGTATATGAGCTGGTCTGCAAGAACCACTCATTCACACTTGCCGAATACATACGCAGTTACTAAGCACATAGCCAACTGGGTTATAACTGTGAAATTTCAATCGTTGAGCAAGTACTGTACTATACTCTCCTCGTATCTTTGCTCTAGCAAGTGACTCTGTTTATTGACAACCGTTGGGCAAGTACTATGCTATACTATCCTAGTATCTATAACATAGCAAGTGACTGTTTATTACCAACCGTCGGGCAAGTACTGTATTATACTCTCCTAGTATCTTTGATATAGCAAGTGACTCTGTTTATTATCAACCGTTGGGCAAGTACTGTGCTATACTATCCTACTATCTTTGATATAGCAAGTGACTGTTTATTATCAACCATTGGGCAACTACTGTACTACACTATCCCAGTATCTATAATATATCAAGTGGTGTGTATGCGGCCGTGAGTGGTAGAGATTATCTGTGTGAGATCAGAAACAAACTTCTGGAGGAGTCATCGGCACATACGCCCACACTGGACCCAAACTTACGCCCACATTTGCCCCAAACTTATACACAGACATGCCACATATAGCACATACGCCCACACTGGACCCAAACTTACGCCCACATTTGCCCCAAACTTATACACAGGCATGCAACATATAGCACATACGCCCACACTTGACCCAAACTTACGCCCACATTTGCCCCAAACTTATACACAGACATGCAACATATAGCACATACGCCCACACTTGACCCAAACTTACGCCCACATTTGCCCCAAACTTATATACAGACATGCCACATATAGCTATGAATAAAACAATGTGAGACTCTTAACTGTTCACTCACACAATATCAATCGCAAATGTAAATACGATGGCAGCATTTGGCTACGGTTAAAAGGAAGGTAAGAGCAAAGACTTAAATTAACCCGAAATTATCAATCACAATTTCACATTTGGCGACGAAGTTTGCACATAGGATACAAACATATGACTACGATAAAT